GTAATTAGCTGAAGCTCCACAGAAGACCCGGCAGGTCTGAGATCAGATTGTGTAAGAACATAAAAGTCTGTTTTCATCTTACTTTAAATGTGTAAATCAACTCCTTRTCTTTTCCTGAATGTTCCAGTAGAGGGCGGTGTCCGACCCGTTTCTTCTGCAAGTCTTTATTTATAATTAGATCAAATTCAGAACCTGAAAATGCCTTTTTGTTCTTTTATTGTTCTTATTGTGAAATTATTTAGTATTAATTTTATTTAGATATTGATTTTTTTAAAACATGTGCAGCTGTTGTGTTGAAATAAATAAAAACTGAACGAAGAACCGTGAGAACACGTGTCTCTACAAGGAATAAATCCATCACCGCCCTGAAATTCTCGCACCTTCATCTCATTGGTTCCGATTCGGTTTGTGTGGCGTGTRACTGGTGCACTGAGCTGTCAATCACAGCAAGTGCTCCGACTCTGCTTTTGGCTGCAGAGACGCGCTGCAGCGCGCTCCCTGCTGCTCAGTGCGCAGAGCGGCGGAGGGAAGCGGACCGTCCCTGCAGCAGCTGCGGCCCCGGCGCGTTTCCTCCCGCTGCGCTGCGTCCCCACAGAGTCCCCGCATCCCTCAGGAGAGGAGGAAGAACACGAGGACCACACTGCCTCCCTCTTCACCTTCTTCTTCTGTGGAGTTTGTCAGGCGCACAGTTTGAGTTTCCCTCACTGCAGACATGTGGAACAGCTCCCGGGAAGTCTTCTTACTTTGTTTCCTCCTGACACTCTGGACTGAGGTGAGAACTTTATCTTCTAATCTTCCCAGAGGGAAGCTCTGTCCTTTATCAAGCTGCAACCAAATCATGAAACCTACCATTCTCAGGACGTACATTCAGTTTGCAGTTTTAAAGCAATCTTCTGAGCTGAGTGTTATATTTAATGAAATGTACCTTTAACTGGGAACACTGGACCAGCTGCAGTGACAGATTTGAAACAAATGATAAAAAGATGAAAGCCAACACTTTTTAATTCCCAAATCTTTGTTGGATGTTTCTGAAAGGAAGTGTCTGCAGCCTGAACTGCATCTTCACTTTGTGTTGGACTCACATGTTTGGACACTTGGCTCTGAAAACTGACATGGTTCTTCAACTTTTGGAAAACAAACTGAAGACACGAAGCAGAAATATTCTTGTTTGTTGCTTGGGATCTGAACTTTCAGTCCTGTTAACCACCTGTCTCCTGTCCCCTCTGGTTTTCTGTCCCCTCCTGTCCCCAGGTGTCTTGGTCCACCGGGTACTTTGAGCTGCAGCTGGTGTCGGTGGAGAACCCCGGAGGTCGTCTCCTGAATGGGGACTGTTGTGATGGCTGTGGTCCTGACGAGTGTGACACGTCCATCCGAGTGTGTCTGAAGGAGTATCAGAAGGAGGTCACCACCTCTGGACCGTGCACCTACGGCTCAGAAACCACCAGAGTTCTTGGTGGGAACAGCTTTCAGTTCAGAGGAGGACAGAAAGCTGCATCACACAGGAACAACGAGGCAGGAAGGATTGTCATTCCCTTTCAGTTTGCGTGGCCGGTAAGTCAGGAATGTGCACGAGTCGTGGTTCTGTTCGATCAGAGCCTAATAACCTCAGAGAGAATGTTGTGGTGTGAGGATCAGTCCGGTCCAGATAGCAGGACTCCAGAACTGATCAGATCTGGATGATGTGAGARCCCAGGTCCAAACAGCAGCTTTGTGTTTGTTCCTCAGCTTGTGTGAGTTTGGCTTCTTCTCTTTCAACAGTCAAAAATAAAACCAGAACCATYTGGAGCTTTGAACACAACGTGGTTCTGATGGGTCCTGGAATGTGCAGGATGCTGGATATTAATGCAGCGTTTGTGTCCTAGTTTGATAAGTTCCAAACAGTGTGTGTGTGTGTGTGTGTGTGTGTGTGTGTGTGTGTGTGTGTACTTGTTTCTACTACAGAGTGAGGACAATTGCATTGCACCATAGTTACTATCAAAGTGAGGTCTTTGATGTAAAGTGAGGACCTCTTCAATGTTAATTTTTGTTTAGTGTGTACTATACTACAGTATACTATACTGTACTATCTATAGTCTGTAAAGTAACTAGTGTGTGAACCTCTGTACTGATGCTGCTGTGACACCTGAACTTACCTCTGCAGGAAAATAAAGGCTGTTTCTATTTTATTCTATGTTCTCACTTTGTTCACAGCTCTGCTGTGCTTTACTAGTTAGGTTTGGAGGTATGGTGTGAGTTAAGTTCTGGTTCAGGTTAGAGTTAACTATAGACCAGTAATGGTTAATTTTACTAGTTAGGTTTAGAGGTRTGGTGTGAGTTAAGTTCTGGTTCAGGTTAGAGTTAACTATAGACCAGTAATGGTTARTTTTACTAGTTAGGTTTAGAGGTRTGGTGTGAGTTAAGTTCTGGTTCAGGTTAGAGTTAACTATAGACCAGTAATGGTTARTTTTACTAGTTAGGTTTAGAGGTATGGTGTGAGTTAAGTTCTGGTTCAGGTTAGAGTTAACTATAGACCAGTAATGGTTAATTTTAGGGAAAATGTCTGGGTTAGGTATAAATACAGTTACAAAAAATGAATGGAAGTCAATACAAAGTCCTCAGTTTGATGCAAATTCAATTCAAAAGAACTTTATTGATCCCAGAGGGAAATGAGGTGTTGTTGTAACTCATTGAACTAAAAACTTATTGTAGATGCTGATGGCTGTGGGCAGGAAAGATCTTCTGTAGGTCTGTGTTACAGTGAAGGTGAAGAAGCCTCCGACTGAAGACACTTTGTCTTTCTATGACAGTCTGATGAAGAGGATGGTCAGGGTTGTCCACAATGTTCTTGATTTGATGTAAAGTCCTTTGCACCATCATCTCCAGAGATTCCACAGTCGTCCCAGAACAGAACCAGCCTTCTTTATCAGGTTGTTGAGCCTTTTTAGGTCCCTGGATCTGATGCTGCTGCCCCAACAGATGATGGCAGAAGAGATGATGCTCTCAACAACAGACTTGTAGAAGATCTGCAGCATCTTGCTTATACAAATACAAGAATATATGTGTGTGTGTGTGTGTGTGTGTGTGTGTGTGTGTGTGTGTGTGTGTGTGTGTGTGTGTGTGTGTGTGTCGTGTTAGATGAATGAGCAGGGGGTGGGACTGATGAGCTGTAAGCCAATCCGAAGCTGCTCTCCCTCCTGTTTGGACAGACAGCGTGGGAACATGAAGACAAGCTGCCGTCAGAACTTGTTCAGATGTTTGTCAGGGTTCATGACGTCACCACTGTTAGAATGATCTGTGGTCATTTGGAGCCAAACTTGGACCAGCAGACTGGATCTTCTSAGTGGTTCTGTCCATTAATACATGACTCAGGAGAAGATAAGCTGTAAAGACTCTGGTTGATGGTTTAAAACAGATTCTCTGTCTTCATGTCACTAATTTTAGCTCTGTTGCAAGATATTGTAGGACTTACAGGACGATGCACAGAAAAAATAATAAATAAATTCTGCGAACCTTAGCAGCTGACCACAAAAACCCCAAACAAGGGTTCATGTCAGATCCAACATATGAGGGGTTCTGAGAGCCTGTCCATTCATCAGCCCCATGGCAGCTGTCAGCACAGGGAAACATGGAAGTAGTAAGTCGGGCCCAGTGAGTGGATCCAGTTACACTCAGCTGGATGTGACACAGGCRGTGTGCTGAATCTGGGCTGGGGAAGCCTCCTGGTTCAGCCCGTTCTCCACTCGTCCCTCTCACCATGCGTGGGCTCAGTGTGTTCCTCTGTTTGCCCGGAGGGATGGAGGAGTGTGATGAGTGTTAGCAGCAGCTTTTAATGAGGCTTTTATTCAGTTCTGTGCTGAGAAATTCCTGGGATTTTGGCACCATACTTCAGCTTCTGCTGTGTTTTTGGTTTGACAGGTAGATTTATTCAACTCTGAGACACTGAGGTGACACTTCTGAGGGTGTTAATGAGAAACTCTCATCTGGTGGATCTGAAAGGAAAAGAMTTGAATCAGGATATTACTTCAGAGGTGTGATCAGTTTGTAGTAGAGAATCAGAGAGGAATGGTTCATGTGACAGAAGAATTCTCAGCTTCATCTGGTCGATTTCTTCTGCAGCAGTGCAGGTGCTTCCTCAGTGCTGTCATGTCTGACCACACACACAGAACAGGATCTGGGCCTGCAGCTAAAAATGGAGGAGATATAGAAACTCTTTCATACTGGATTTTAAAACCTGTCATCAAACTATAGTATTCTTATAAAAACAACAACCAAACCTTTTTAAAAAGTAAATAATTTGCTGTTAATTTAAAAAGAAACAAACTGTTTTTTTCCACCAGCCTCTTGCTCAGTGCAGATGTTTCTGTTCACTATTCCAGCTGTGTGGTCCTGCATGCATCCTGGACTGTCTCAGAGGCAGCTTTGCACAGCTGGYATCTTGGGTCCTGTCTGGTGTGGCAGACCCTGGTCTGTGGTGCTCCTCTGCTGCCATGGTTAGTCCTACAAACTGTTAACCATTGTCCCACTTTAAGATACTATCTGTGTCTACGGCCCCTAGCTTCAGGCAAAGCTTTATTGGACTGTTTAGGGTGGCTCTGGTAACTGGGCCTCTGGTCCTGACAGCACATTGTTCTGATCTCTTGTGTCTTCACTGCTCCTTCTTCTTGTAGGTTAGCCCCTCTGGCTGTTTGGGTTCAAACTACAAGGATTTTTAACAGAAAACAAGAAGAGGGAAGGGATTATCTGACAAAACAAAGGATTTCTACAGGTACACTGTACCGACAGCTGTGGCAGAGTGGTTAGGGGAGTTGTCCTGGAACCTGAAGGTTGCCGGCTCGATCCGCTATCCAGCTGTCTCAGTTGTTGTGTCCTTGAGCAAGACACTTCAGCCCTAATGCCTTTGATGTGTCCCATCAGTGTCTGAATGTGATTGGCACTGATTAGTCTCCATAGATGATTGTACATGTTAGCTCTGTAGAGACCTAACAGAGTGCTGTGTGAATGGATGAATGAGGACACAGATTGTAGAGTGAAGAGCT